GCCCGCTATCCTCTTTTTTTTTTTAAGATTTTATTTGACAGAGAGAGACACAGCGAGAGAAGGAACACAAGCTGGGGGAGTGGGAGAGGGAGAAGCAGGCTCCCCGCAGAGCAGGGAGCCCAACGCGGGGCTCGATCCCAGGACCCTGAGATCATGACCTGAGCCGAAGGCATACACTTAACCAACCAGGCGCCCCTAAAATACTTTTTATTTTTAAGTAGTTTGAAAGAAGTTGCAAAAGAGTTCCCATGTGGGGCGCCTGGGTGGCTCAGTCGTTAAGCATCTGCCTTCAGCTCAGGTCATGATCTCAGGGTCCTGGGATCGAGCCCCGCATCAGGCTGCCTGTTCAGCGGGAAGCCTGCTTCTAGCTCTCCCCGTCCCTCTGCTTGTGTTCCCTCTCTTGCTGTGTCTCTCTCTGTCAAATAAATAAAATCTTTAAAAAAAAAAAAAAGAGTTCCCATGTACCCTTCATCCAGCTTCCCTCAATGGTAATGTTCTACATAACCACAGTACATTGTCAAAACCAGGAAAATATACTAATACAATACTTTTAACTCAACTACAGACCTTATTCAGATTACACCAATTTTCACATATACTCTTTTTGTAGTTCTGTGAAATTTTATCACATGTGTAGATTCATGTTACCACCATCACCACAGTCCGATACAGAGCTGTTCCAGTCCACAAGGGAACTTCTTTTTTTTTTTTTTACATGGTACAAGTTTTTTAATATACAATTTGTACTTATACAATGGCATACTATTATACTATGAGAATGGGATAATGCACAATCTTTTCTATTTCTCCTCAACAACCAAATTAATATAAATGATGCACAGCTCCAAGAGCCTGCATATCAATGATCAATTTCTCTGCCATGCTGATTTTAAAATGCAATAATCCTAACACATTTACAATGAAAACATTTATATTATACTGTGACACTCAATACATCTAGAAATATTAAATGTTTAAAAATAAATATTTCACTTGCCCATTATTTACAAAGTTGTCATACTGCCATATAACAGATGAACACAGAATTTTATAATTTAGATTCTATAAAATGTTCTTTAGAAAAATGAATTTCGGGGTGCCTGGGTGGCTCAGTCGTTAAGTGCCTGCCTTCGGCTCAGGTCATGATCCCAGGGTCCTGGGATCGAGCCCCGCATCGGGCTCCCTGCTCGGCAGGGGGCCTGCTTCTCCCTCTCCCTCTGCCTCTGCTTGTGTTCCCTCTCTCACGGTGTCTCTCTCTGTCAAATAAATAAATAAAATCTTAAAAAAAAAAAAGAAAAATGAATTTCATCAACATAAGTATATCTGAGAAAATAAGATATACATACATGCCCACAAGGGAACTTCTAACTAACCCTTAGGTCATACCCTCTCCCAATCCTGACCACCACTGATCTGTCCTCCATCACTAGAATGTGCCACTTCACAAATGTCACATAAAGGAAATCCTATAGCATGGATGGGCTATACTGTGGGCTTTTATCACTCAGCATAATGCATTTGAGATCCATCCAAGGTGTGTGTATCAGTAGCTTGCTCCTTTGTATTGCTAAGTAGATATACCACAGTTTGTTTATCTATTCACCTATTGAGGGACATTTGGGCTGTCTACATTATTATTATTATTACTATTATCATCATCATTGTTAGCTATCACAAATAACACTGCCATGAACATTTGTATTCAGTTTCCTATGAACATGTTTTCACTTTTGTATGGACATGAGTTTTCATTGTTGTGTGTGTCAAGGAGGTGATAAATGCCCAAGAATGCAATTGTAGAGTTGTACGGTAAGTGTATGCTAAACTACCAAATTGTTTTCCAGAGTAGCTGCACCATCTTACATTCCCACCAGTAATAGCTATTGAACATGTTTTCATGCATATATTTGCTATCCATATATCCGCTTTAGAGAAATATGTGCTCAAGTTTTTGCCCATTTTCCAACTGTACTTTTTTAGTCAACTTTATTAATGTATAACATATATAACAAAATGCACTCATTTCAAGTGCAAAATTAGATGAGGTTGGACAAATAAATAAACCCATGTATTGAATTTGAGATACTCTCTGTAGTCATTTCCTTAAGCCAAGATAGCTATGTCCACCCACCTCCATTGTGCGGCTAATGGCAAGTATATTTCTGTTTGTTATAGGTCAAACAGTACAATTATGTATATGGTTTTATATAGTTGCTTTTATAATAAGTTTAAAAAAGAAATAGCATTTATACTTTCTTATGCATAATTACTGGTGCTTTTTGTTTTTTTGTGCGGATTCACAGCATTGTCTGGGATCACATACTTCCAGCCTTTAGTACTTCTTGGGTTGGTTGACACTGGACAAGGAAATAACTCCAAGTCCCTGCTCATCAGGAGCAGGGAAGAGAGAGTGGGAACATCCAGGTCACTGAGATGCAAGCCTCAGTTGGGACTCTGTCCATTCTTTAACAAGCACATGATGTTTTCTGCTTATCAAAGAATGTTTATTAGTATATTTGCTGATTATAAATGTAATCATTTTCAGTGCCAACATTTTTTAATGGAGATACCCTAATTATTTCCAGTAGTGCCCTATTGTTAGACACTTTGACCTCAAAACAGTGCAGCTCTTAAGTTCATTGTATGACTCTCCTTGAGCCTGCCATGTTTTAAATTTGAATAGACACTGCCTAAAACTGGCCCACTATACTCCAAGTAGCCCAGTATGAACTACACATGAAAATCACATGATTTTCCCAATGACTATCTCTAGTCTGGCTCATTTTTTAAATTTCTGACATTTATTTATCAATATTACTCTAGTTTTTATTAATATACATTATTTTTAGAGCACTAAGTTTTAGGTTTATGGGAAATTGAGCTGATAGTACAGAGTTCCCATACTCCTGGTCTCTCCCTACAGTTTCCCCTACTGTTAACATCTTTAGTGTGGTATATTTGTTATAACTGATGAACCCATATTGATACATTATTATTAAATAAAGTCTATAGTTCACATTAGAGTTGTACCTAATATGGGTTTTGACAAATACATAATGTCACATGTGTCAGTCATTACAGTATCATACAGAATAGTTTTGCTGCATGAAAAACCCCCTGTGCTTCACCTATTCATCCCTCCCTCCCCCAAGTCCCCATCAACCACTATTTTACTGTGTCTAAGTTTTGCCTTTCCCAGAATGTCATAAAGCTGGAATTATACAGTGGGTGCCTTTTTCAGACTGACTTTTTAACTTAGCAATATGCATTTAAGATTCCTCCATGCCTTTCTGTGGCTTGACAACTCAGTTCTTTTTATTGCTGAATAATATTCCATTGTATGGATGTGCCACAGTTTCTTTATCCACTTACCTATTGAAGAACATCTGAGTTGATTCCTGTTCTGAGCAATTACAAACATTTGTGTGCCTTGCTGGATGACCTGGTAGGACTATATTTAACTTTGCAAGAAACTATCAAACTCTTCCAAAGTGGCTGTACCATTTTGCGTTCTCCCCAGCAGTGAATGAGATTTCTGGTTCCTCCTGTTGTATTTTGGATTTTAGCCATTCTAATACATATGTAATGATATTGTTTTAACTTGCAATTCCCTAATAGCAGACAATCTTGAGCATATTTTCTTATGCTTATTTGCCACCTGTGTATCTCCTTTCCTGAGGTGTCCAGATTTTTTGCCCTTTTAAAGTCATGGTAGGCAGGGACACCTGAGTGGCTCAGATGGTTAAGCATCTGCCTTTAGCTTGGATCATGATCTCTGGGTGCTGGGATTGAGCTCCATGTCGGGCTCCTGGCTCAGTGGGAAGTCTGCTTCTCCCTCTCCCCCTGCTCATGCTCTCTCTCTCCTTCTCTCTCTGTCTCTCTCTCAAATGAATAAATACAATCTTAAAAAAAAAAAAAAAAGGATAGTAGGCAGAATTCTAAGATGACCCCAAGATTTTTCCATCGTAGGGCAACCCTCTGGGGTTCCCACCCATCTTAAAAAAAAAAAAAAAAAGATTTTTCCATCGTAATCCATGAGACTGGATAGATTTTTTTCCCCAGAACCTCCAGACAAGAACTCAGTCTAGGGGCGCCTGGGTGGCTCAGTTGGTTAAGCGACTGCCTTCGGCTCAGGTCATGATCCTGGAGTCCCGGGATCGAGTCCCGCATCAGGCTCCCTGCTCAGCAAGGAGTCTGCTTCTCCCTCTGACCCTCCTTTCTCTCATGCTCTCTGTCTCTCATTCTCTCTCTCAAATAAAATCTTAAAAAAAAAAAAAAAAAAACTCGGTCTAGCCAGCACCTTCATTCTAGTAGGAGCAGAGAACTTAGCCATGTTGTGCTAGAATTCTGACCTCAGTGCTGTGAAATAATAAATGGATGTTTTGGTAATTGTAATTTGTTACACAGAAACAGAAAACTATTACAAGGTTGGACTTTTGGCAGTGGCTCCCTCACAGTCTTCTCTCTGACATGAGGCTGAACAAGGTGATAGCCATGGCTAGAGGCTTTTGCACTTTACTGTACTCCTAAGGCCTTCAGTGTGAACTTTCTGGAGTGAAATAAGATTGGAGCTGCAGCTGAAGACTCTCCCACCACCTGGGTGGCTCAGTTGGTTGAGCGACTGCCTTCAGCTCAGGTCATGATCCCGGAGTCCCAGGATCGAGTCCCGCATCCGGCTCCCTGCTCAACAGGGCATCTGCTTCTCCCTCTGACCCTCCCCACTCTCACACTCTCTCTCTCTCTCTCTCAAATAAATAAATAAATAAAATCTTCAAAAAAAAAGACTTTCCCACATTAGTTGGACTAAAGAGGATATTCTGTGGTATGGAAGCTTGCATGTAGAACAAGTTTGGTGCTTTGGGGTAAAGATTTCCCACACTGACTGCATTTAACATCCTTTGGGGTCATGATCTTTCTGGTACTGAACGAGCTTAAGGCTGTGTCTAAAGGCTTTCCTATAATTCCTGGTGTTAAATGAGAAGCAGAGAAGGAGCAACATGTACTGCACTCATGGGCCTTTATGTGTTGAGAACTTGGAGGTACCAAACACCCGTGGCTATTTCAATGCAGACTTCCCCACACCAGCAGCCCTCGTATGGCCTTTCTCTCACGTGAACCTTCTGGTGCTGACTGAGACAACAGATTCTGCTGTAGGCTTTCCCACATTCAATGCATTCATAAGGTCTTGCTCCAATGTGAGCTCTCTGGTGCCAAATGAGGTTGGAGTTTTGCTAAAGAATTCCCCACATTCAGTGCATTTATAGGGCATTTCCCCAGTGTGAACTTTCTGGTGCCGAATAAGGGTAGATGCGAGGCTGAAGTCTTTCCCACATTCACTGCACTTATAAGGCCTTTCCCCTGTATGAATTCTCTGGTGCTGAACAAGTGTGGATTTGTGGTTGAATGTTTTCCCACATTCACTGCACTTGTAACATTTTATTTCAGTATGAACTTTATGATGTGTGCTCAATTTAGATGGGTGGCTGAGGGCCTTCCCATACTCTTTACACATATAGGACGTTCCTCCAGTGTGAATTTTAATCTGAGTAATAAGAATTGATTTCTCCTTGAAGGCATTTCCACCTGTTGAGCATCTGTAGGAACTCAGTTCAGTATAAGTTCTTAGGTGGTTGAGGAGGGCAGAACTCTCCAGGAAAGATTTCCCACAGTTGCTGCACTTGAAGGGTTTCTGTCCAGTGTGGACTCCTGGGTGCTGCCTGAGACTGGAGCTGTGAGGGAAGGTCTCCCTGGTGCTGCTTGGTAGCTTCCCCATACTGTGAGCGGCTTGTTGCTGTCTGAGGCCAAAGCTGGCCTGGAAGTCCATGCCGCACTCCCCACACATGAAGGGGTGTTCTGATGAGTGGGCCCTACAGCTCTTCACCTGCTCAAGAGGGTCCTCCTCATCTTCCACTTGACACAGACAACCTGAAAGCAGAGAAATGTCAGTTAACTGGATGCTAGGATTGGAGGAGGAGGCACCTTCATCACCAGTGCATGTCAACATACTCAGGAAGGAGTCCAGGGGACTGCTGGAAGGTTCTGTAAAGCTGGGGCAGGCGGTTCTGGATGGAAGGGCTGACCCTGCAGGCTAGGACCCAGCCAGATGACAGAATGTGAAAGATCTCAACAGAGATGAGAACACAAAGAGGGAGCAGAAGAAGGAGGAGAGAGCTATGGTCTCCGTCACTTCTCTGCAAAGGGTTTCGGCAGGGCCTTGGCTACTGGTGACAGAAAGCACTGTGAAGAGGCATGTGTCCAGTCCTGTGAAAAAGTCACTGCAGCACAGTAGCTGGTTCAAGTGTGACACAGAAGGATGCCTCATGTCATGTGTAGAATAGGTCCATGTCGGACAGCTATGCATAAGTTACTGGGCTGCTTATCACCTGACTGTCTCTCAGCTCCAAATTCACCCATTTGCCTGCTCTGTGCAAATGGATTCTTTAAATATTTTTCTTTGCAAGCCTGCATGATGTTAACCTTTTTTTTTTTTTAAGATTTTATTTATTTATTTGACAGAGAGAGAGACACAGCGAGAGAGGGAACACAAGCAGGGCGAGTGGGAGAGGGAGAAGCAGGCTTCCCGCAGAGCAGGGAGCCCAATGCGGGACTCGATCCCAGGACCCTGGCATCATGACCTGAGCCGAAGGCAGACGCCTAACCGAGTGAGCCACCCACATACCCCGGATGTTAACCTTTGTTAGTAGAGGGCATTGGGAAGAAACTGCAGGATGAACAGGGTTTTTTTCCCACTTGCTGTGTGCTCCCTCAGTGGCCTGCTGCTGTCTGTGCAACTTTTTCACGAGCGCTCACACCTTCTCCAGTACCCAGCCCCTCTACTCATTCCAATCCCCTGGTGATGTTAATAATACTTTATTTTGAATCTTCCCTGTTCAAAGCACTGTGCGGTTTCTCTCTGCTGACTGAACCCAAATTGATACAGAACTGGTACTGGGAATGGTTCCAGGAGATAGCCTGCAAAAATGGAATTTGAAGACTGACTTAGTTGTGTTTGGGACATGAGCACAACGCAGAGCTCCCTGACAAATAGGATGACAGTAACCCAGGGCATGCAGTGGTATCAATTAAACAAGCTACTGCCTTGTGCCTTGGGAGCCCAAGTGGCTCCTGCACTTCACTTTTATGGCAGTAATGACAATTGCAAGGACTGTGGTGTGGGACCAAGGGTCCTGAGTGCCCCGGACCACTTACAGAAAGAACATAATACATTCAGGTTCTTAAACTACCAGCTCAAGCCACAGTCTGAGAAATAGATGGATTCCATGACCTCCCTCCGAGAATCTGATTTCTTACAGCTGCAGGGCTGATGATGCTAAAAACCAAACAAAACTCAGTTGTGCAGGTGACTGATTTGTATCATTTGAAATCACAATCTTGCCACGTTTCTCATGTGAAAATTAGGGCACTGATTGGTAATGAATGGGACAATAAAACATTTGTTTTTTGTGTATTTGTGCTGCATTAAACTGCTAAATTTGTAGTAATTTGTTATAGCAGCAATAAAAATTACAACACCATCTCCAACTATGTTCCACAAAAAGACACAGAAGACATTCCCTTCACTAAAATAATTGAGAAATATATTAGTGAGAGGATTGAAAATCTCTGTGGTTGCTCTCTTTTGTAAGCCAGTTATGACTGTAGGAGATGCTGCCATTGAGATGGGCTCCTCTGTTTTCTCGGGGATGATCCCAGGGGTAGCAGAGGCCAAGTGGCCGCACTTAGTTACCAAATACAAGGTGGGCACATCCGCCGTAGCAGGCAACAGGGATGTCCAGGCGACCAGAATGCCTTGGCCTAAAGAGGTCTTGGGCAGTGAGTAATTGAGTACAGCGTTGCCCAGAAAGAAATACTTGGGGGTACAGGTCATTATGCTAAGGAGGGCTAAATGCAAGCCCCTGAAGCTTTCACTCCCTGCCAGGGTAGAAAACCAAAAGCAATACTGCATCCCTGGAGGAGCTGCAGAGACTAATGCCACCACCAGCGATATGAAAGAAGCAGAGGTGGTGGTACCCATCACATGCCATTTAACTCACTAGTTTGGCCTGAGCAGAAGTCAGATGGATCTTGGAGAACGACTGTGGACCATCCATCCTAAATTTAATGTGGTGCCTCTGACTGTAGCTGCTCTTCCAGAGGAAGAACCCAGGCACTTGGCTTGCATCCAAGGAACCGACTGGTGCCTTCTCTTCCATACAATTTACAAGCGACACCAGAAACCATTTGCATTTATCTGCTCAAACCAAACCACAGTGTATGTTCACATTGTTGCCTCAGGATGACATCAGTTCTGCTCTGTCTTGATATTGCATAAACATCACATTGGTCCACTTCAATATGACATGCTGTGTGGATCTGATGAGCAAGAAGTAGCAACTACTTTAGATACCTTGGTAAGAAATATGCAAACAGGGCGCCTGGGTGGCTCAGTTGGTTGAGCGACTGCCTTCAGCTCAGGTCATGATCCCACGGTCCTGGGATCGAGTCCCGCATCGGGCTCCCTGCTCTGCGGGGAGCCTGCTTCTCCCTCTCCCACTCCCCCTGCTTGTGTTCCCTCTCTCGCTGTGTCTCTCTCTGTCAAATAAATAAATAAAATCTTAAAAAAAAAAAAAGAAAGAAAGAAATATGCAAACAAAAGGGTGGGATACAAAACCTACAAAAATTCAGGGGCCTGCCACCTCAGTGAAGCTCTCAGGAGTTCAACTGCCTGAGTGGGTTGAGATATCCATTTAATTGTTGCACCTCGCACCATCAACCACCAAAAAGCATTTGGTAGGACTTTTTGGATTTTGGAGGTAACCTATACAACATCTAAATCTACTGCTTTGGACCATCTACCAAGTCAGCCATCAGGCTTCCTGTTTTAAGTGGAACCAGAAAGAGAGACGGCTCTGAAGCAGGTTCAGGCTGCTCAAGCACCCGGGCCTTATGATACAGCAGACTCAGTGATACTGGAAGTGTCTGTGGCAGATCAGGACATTGTGTAGAGCCTGGCAAGCAGCTGTAGGAGAATCACAGCACAGACCTCTAGGATTTTGAAGCCAGTCTACAGCTTATGCAGATAACTACTCTACTTTAGAGAAACAGTTTCTAGTTTGCTAATGGGCCTTCGGCAAAGACTGAATGCTTAACCAGGGGATGCCAGGTCACATGTGACCTGAGCTTCCCATCATGAACTGGTATTGTCTGACCCACATAGCCAGAAATCTAACATTAAATGGAAATAGTATATAAGATCAAGCTTGGCCCAAGACTTGGGCGGTCCTGCACAAAGACTTGCAGAGGAAGAGGGCACATGTGTAGCAAAAAGGGGCCATGACTCCAGCGGGGTCACCAAGCTGGAGACAGGCTGAGATTGGTGGGATCAGTTGGACACCTGTGAAAGACCTGGACCCCAAACTCCACCCTATGAAGTCTTGAGGTAATACCTATTGGGGGCTACTCACAGGGCTGCTCGAAGAGCAGAGGGAGAGTACGCCCACCCCAGTCACAGCACCCACAGCACCCACCATAGGGAACCTGGGAAGCAAGCAGCCCCCGGTCCAGCTTTGGGATAGACAGAACTTCCCATGGGAAAAGGCAGAGGGTAGTCAGTACACTGTGGGAGGGTGTAGGGACTTACCCAGAGAGCCGATGAGCTCAAAGTTCTCCTATATCACATCATGGTATAGATGCCTCTGCGTTACGTTAAGGAGCCTCCGCTCCTCCTTGGAGAAATACACGGCCACATCCTCAAATGTCACCTGATCCTGCAGTGATGGGTTCAGCTGATCCTAGGGATTGATGATTGGGCAGAAAAACCAACCAAAGGGACACATCCAAGCCTTTGACACGGAAGGGTACTATCCTCTCTCTCACTGACAGGCTCAACACCCCACCACCACCACCACATCCTGATGCTTCCTTTTCCCTCCAGAACTCTACCTCAGAGAGAATACCAAGATCACAATGCCATTGATGCCTTTCTCATCATGTTACTATTAGATTCTGTATCCATCCCACAGCAACAACAGGATGGGTGCCATCTATGTTCTGGTCCAGGCACACAGGCCTCACCCTTTCTCCTCCCAGCCCATTCTCTCTGTGTCCCTCACATCACACCTCTCAGATGCAACTAAACCCTCACTCACCATTCTTCCTTAGGGCCAGATGCCTGCTCCCAAGGCCCTTCAGTTGGCCCTCCCACCTATCAGGCACATAACATACTCAGCATCCTCATACTTCTGCACCCACACCATTCCAGCACAACCTCACCAGTCCACTCCATTCACAACTCCCTGGCTTCCCCACATGCCACTCTCCATGTGGTGTCCTGAGAGTGCATGGCACAGCAACCGCAATCCTATCCTGCTCCAGCCTGCCTGCACTTCCAATGGCCCACTGCCATTGCACCTCACACCATCAACCACCAAAAAACATTTGGTAGGACTTTCTGGATTTTGGAGGTAACCTGGCCCTGTTCTAGCTTCAATATTCAGCCACTCAGAACTGCAATTGGATCTCTGAGATGCTGGACTTCCTTCACCTCTGCCTTCGCACAGGCTGTGCTCTCACTTGCCGTGATCCTCCTCTCCCATTCTGAGGCATACTCAGAGTCCAGCCCACTGGGCCTGGGACACTGCCTGTCGCCCAGGTGACCTCCATCTACCACTGAATGCCTCTGCAACCCTGAATGAAAACCCTCAGGCCCCAGAGAGGGCAGATATAAAAGCCTGGTCAGCCTGCAAACAGGTGAATCAGCCCAACCCCAAGCCCATTTACCCCCTACATCCATCACTGCCATGCCACAGGCTGCACCCCAGGTCCACCTGCCGATCAGGAGCCTTGGCTCCCTGACACTGCCCCTCTTCATTCCCTGCTAACATAGGCCCAGACGTCACAGTGCCTTAGTGACACCTGCCACCACCTTCCAACTGCACAGTCCGAGCACCCGGTCCTCCTTGGCCCCCAGCCTCCCTTCCCACAACTTGTCTGGGCGTTCATCACCGTCCTTCATCCCACATTGTTCCTAGGCCCACTCTCTAGCCCCACCCTTTGGATCTTTCCAGCCCTGACCCTGCAGAATTCCAGAGCTGCACATTCAGGTGCCTACAAGGTGCCTCCATTCCTGGATATATCCCACTTAAAACCTCCAAAACCACCCTCCAGATCTTGTCCCTGGAGCCTGCTCTAGCCACCAACTTCCACAACTGTTGGTAGATCTTCCATCCATCAAACCACTGAGTCCAAACACCTAGGCTACTCCTTGATAGGTCAGTGTCTCTCACTGCCTCACATCCGGCAATTGGGCTGGTCCTACTGAAATAACAGATACAGAGTCCCAGCACCTCTGCCATCTCCATTGCCACCACCCTGGTGCAGCCACCCATCACCAGTAGCCTCTCAGGTGCCTTTTTCCGCCACAGTCCGTAGCCAGAGGGAGTCTCCCAACACCTGAGTCAGATCACCTCCCTCCCCTGCCCTAAATCTCCAATGCTCCCAGCACCCTCAGAACAGAAGTCTAGATCCATTCCAGGCCTGACTCCTGCCCCTGCTCTCTCTTCTCAAAAGACCTAGGTGGGATCTGGGGTTCCCTGAACACTCCCAGCGCAGCCTCACTACCAAGCACTTGCTGGCTTCTGTGTCTTTAACACTGTCCATATCACATCCCGTTGACTGACAGAAATGGGAACCCTTCTGCATAAGCGCTGGATTAGGGGCCAGATGCGACTCCCAAAGCCCAAGTGGTAAGGGCAGGGAGCTGAAGGCGGCGGGGAGGAGTAAAAGTCCCACGATACCAACATCCCCGATACGGGGGTCTGAGTGAGTGGGGTCGAGGGGGCACCCTCGACTCACCGGCGCCGGGGCGCTCCTCACCGCCGCCGCCCGCCGACCCGGGGCCGGAGCTGCGCACTGCAAGGCGGACACCCGGCCTGGGTCCCACAGGTCAGCCGACCCGACGCCAGCCCCGCCCATGGAGGGATGACCTCGGGCTGACCGTCGCAGTCTGGGCCTCAGTCCCCACCCACTCCTGCGTAAAATGCCTACGGGGCCAGGGTGCCACTTGCCGGGGCGGCGGGGGCCGAGGACCGGTGAGGAGGCTCGGGAGAGCGCGCGGCCCGGGCGGATATCCGTGAGAGGCAGCCGGTCCCACAGTCGGGACGAGTCTCAGAGAGTCTCAGTACTGGGAGCTCACGGCTCGGCGAAGATACGACGACGGACCCTGCCCTCCTGTAGCTTGTGTGGTAGCACCCAGAGGACTCAGCCCTGCCAGCGCGCGGGGCCTCGCGGCGGGAACTACACTACCCAGAAGACACTGCGACGACGTCTCGGGGCTGACCAGTGAGGGCCCAGGACAGGGCGTTTCCGGGAGGGCTGCTGGGGCGGGACTTCCGCCGTCCGCCTCTGAAGGTTGTCTAGCTCCAGTCCTGACAGCCCTTCGCTTCGGCAGCGAAGCGGCCCGGGAGGGCGTCCGTTGGGCTCCCCGAGGCGGCGGAAGCGGGAGCGGGGACAGCACGAGAGTCGAGGAGGGGGGAGGGTCCGGCCACGCCATGTATGCGCTTTTACCGCGGAGAGTGTCCCTCCTCGTGGACTCCCGGCGTCCCCAACCGTAGTGGGACGGCCCCGGGGTGTGCAGCCGAATCGCGCGGGGGTGTCCTCCGTGGCCTCCGCAGAAGCCGGCACGTGCCCGGGGCCGCCCCCGAGTCGTCCCGGACTAACGGCCTGGAGACCTCGGCTGGAGGAAAAGGAGGCGTGGGGAGGAAAATCGGCAGTTGGATGTGGGCAGAGGTGTGGATGGGCCCGGGCCCTTCCCACTGCCGGGTATGTGCCTGTCTCTGGCAGCTGAGACCTAGACAGTCCCTTTTGCAGAACATCCTGAGAGTGGACGCCAAAGACCCTCTAGATCCATCCATGTTGTTGCAAATGGCAAGACCCCATTCTTTTTTATGGCTGAGGAACACTCCAGCATATATACACCACATCTTTTTTATCCATGAATCTATTGATGGACACTTGGGTTGCTTCCATATCTTGGCTATTGGAAATAATGCTGCAATAAACATAAGGGTGCATATATATTTTCAAACTGTTTTCATTTTCCTCAGTAAATTACTGGACTGTGTGGTATTTCTATTTTTAAGTTTTTGAGGAACCTCCATACTGTTTTCCACAGCAGTTGTACCAGTTTACATTCCTACCAACAGTGCACAAGTGTTCCTTTTTCTCCACATCCTTGCCAATACTAGCTGTTTCTTTAATTAGATACTAGCCACTACACTGACAGAGTTGAATAGTGACTAGAAACTGCACAGCCCACAAAGGTGAAAATATTTATGGTCTGACCCTTTACACAAAACGTTTTCTGGCTCCTGATTAAGAAGTTACAGAGGTGGGGTGCCTGGCTGGCTCAGTCAGTAAAGCTCATGACTGTTCATCTGGGGGTCATCAGTTTGAGCCCCACATTGGGCACAGAGATTACTTAAAACTTAAAACTTTTTTTTTTTTTTAAGTTACAGAGCTGAAGAATTTAACCAGAGCTTGGCAAAAGCTGTATGTAAAACAAAAGTGGAAGGAATGGAAGGAATTTGCTAGAGAGGGAAATGGTAGAGGTGGCCATACATAACAGCTGCGGTGTGACCGGCCCAGCACTGCCTGCGAGTGAAGATTGCCGGGGTGCCCTTCCAGTCACAGGTCAGCAGCTGGTAGGAGGCGGCCATGCCAAGCCCTGCAGGATAGCCAGGGGTTGCCTCAGAGCCTTCCATTTTGAAGATTGACTAGGAGGATTCACAGACTCAGAAAATCTGTTATATTCTTAGTTGCAGTTTATTTTTTTTTTAAGATTTTATTTGAGAGAGAGTGCGTGCGCGTGAGCACGCATGAGTGGGGCGGGGGGGGCGAAGGGAGAAGCAGACACCCTGCTGAGCAGGAGAGCAGGAGCCTGGCTCAGGACTCGATCCTAGGACCCCAGGATCATGACGTGAGCTGAAGGCAGCCACTTAACCGCTGAGCCACCCAGGCGCCCCTTATTTACAGTTTATTGCAGTGAAAAGATATCATTTAAAATCCGGCAAAGGGAAGGGGCATATAGAACAGGGACTACTAGGATCTTAAAAAAAAAAATTAAAAAAAAAAAAGGGGGCGCCTGGGTGGCTCAGTCGGTTAAGCGACTGCCTTCGGCTCAGGTCATGATCCTGGAGTCCCGGGATCGAGTCCCGCAT